TACCCTTGATACCTATTATAAGACCCTTTTGAGGGTAGTAAAATAGCCCTTATGAGGCTAGATTAGGGAATTGGTACCCTTGATACCTATTATAAGACCCTTTTGAGGGTAGTAGAATAGCCCTTATGAGGCTAGATTAGGGAATTAGTACCCTTGATACCTATTATAAGACCCTTTTGAGGGTAGTAGAATAGCCCTTATGGGGCTAGATTAGGGAATTGGTACCCTTGATACCTATTATAAGACCCTTTTGAGGGTAGTAGAATAGCCCTTATGAGGCTAGATTAGGGAATTGGTACCCTTGATACCTATTATAAGACCCTTTTGAGGGTAGTAGAATAGCCTTCATGTGGCTAGATTAGGGAATCGGTACCCTTGATACCTATCATAAGACCCTTTTGAGGGTAGTAGAATAGCCTTTATGTGGCTAGATTAGGGAATCGGTTCCCTTGATACCTATCATAAGACCCTTTTTAGGGTAGTAGAATAGCCTTCATGTGGCTAGATTAGGGAATCGGTACCCTTGATACCTATCATAAGACCCTTTTGAGGGTAGTAGAATAGCCTTCATGTGGCTAGATTAGGGAATCGGTACCCTTGATACCTATCATAAGACCCTTTTGAGGGTAGTAGAATAGCCCTTATGAGGCTAGATTAGGGAATTGGTACCCTTGATACCTATTATAAGACCCTTTTGAGGGTAGTAGAATAGCCCTTATGAGGCTAGATTAGGGAATTGGTACCCTTGATACCTATTATAAGACCCTTTTGAGGGTAGTAGAATAGCCCTTATGAGGCTAGATTAGGGAATTGGTACCCTTGATACCTATTATAAGACCCTTTTGAGGGTAGTAGAATAGCCCTTATGAGGCTAGATTAGGGAATTGGTACCCTTGATACCTATTATAAGACCCTTTTGAGGATAGTAGAATAGCCCTTATGAGGCTAGATTAGGGAATTGGTACCCTTGATACCTATTATAAGACCCTTTTGAGGGTAGTAGAATAGCCCTTATGAGGCTAGATTAGGGAATAGGTACCCTTGATACCTATTATAAGACCCTTTTGAGGGTAGTAAAATAGCCCTTATGAGGCTAGATTAGGGAATTGGTACCCTTGATACCTATTATAAGACCCTTTTGAGGGTAGTAGAATAGCCCTTATGAGGCTAGATTAGGGAATTAGTACCCTTGATACCTATCATAAGACCCTTTTGAGGGTAGTAGAATAGCCTTCATGTGGCTAGATTAGGGAATCGGTACCCTCGATACCTATCATAAGACCCTTTTTAGGGTAGTAGAATAGCCTTCATGTGGCTAGATTAGGGAATCGGTACCCTTGATACCTATCATAAGACCCTTTTGAGGGTAGTAGAATAGCCTTCATGTGGCTAGATTAGGGAATCGGTACCCTTGATACCTATCATAAGACCCTTTTGAGGGTAGTAGAATAGCCTTTATGTGGCTAGATTAGGGAATCGGTTAGATTAGGGAAGTGGCTAGATTAGGGAACCCAAGTAATGCTCAAAAATTAACCAAAAATCCAAAAAAAATGAATGTGAAAAATGCATGGAACGAATCCGACTATTATTACCCAACATGAAAAACCCTCTCCTACTTACCACTCAAAGGAATTTTTAGTTCTGTATCTCTCAATTCAAAAAGACGAGAAGACGCTCACAATCCACGCATAAGTTCGGAATAAAAAATTTGAATGTTTGAAATGTTTGCAGAACAGAGAATTGCATAAATAACAAATGAAGACAAATCGCCATAAGTGAGAAGGCCACAACTTATTAAATGACTTCCATAATAGAGGAGAGAAGAAAAGAATTCATACTAACAATAAACTAAAATGATTTTTTTGATGATTTTTTAACTACAAAGAAAAAATTTTGGTCAAAGATAGGAAAAGTTTGGTCCCCACCAAACAATTTTGGTACCTATGACAAACAAAAGGAAATCGGGACTATGTTAGCTAGCCTTAACAAATCCAGCACAAATATTTATTTATATAACGACGAGAAAATATATTTATATCAGGGATAGGACGGGTTACCCAAACCCCGAATTTTTTTTTGACTCGAAACCCGACCCTTAATTCGTGTAAATCCACCGATATCCCCCTCATCGTCCCCAAATCACTAATATCCCTCAAACGCTCCGAAAAATCTGGATTTTCGGAAAATTTTAAATGGCCCGGCCCGAAACACTTTTTATCGACCCGAAACCCGATTCTAGGAAAATTTTGAAACCCCGGCTCATTTCTCAACCCATTCCATCCCTGATTCTTAATAAACATCACAACACAATTTTTTGACAAAAAAATTTCTATTTTTATTCATTTCTTTTACTCATCTTCTTTATCGCTTTCTTCCGATTTTGTTGAAGTCTGTAAAAAGAGAATAAGCTAATTTAATTAAATTAAGAAAAAATACCGAGTGGACAGAAGCCACCTCCACTTCCTCATAAGTTACGGCCTGGGTATCTTCAATACCCCCTTTTGATGACGCTTGTTTTCCTTCTTTTTTAACCTTTTCCTTCTTCTTTCCTTCTTTTCCTTCTCCTTCTTTTTTAACGTTTTCCTTCTTTTTTGAAACCTCTTTCTTTTCCTTTTTAACTTTTCCATCATTCTTCATTTCTTCCTTTCCTCCCTTTTTAACTTTTCCATCTTTTGAATTTTCCTTTCCTTCCTTTTTTATTTTTCCATCATTCTTCATTTCTTCCTTTTTAACTTTTCCATCTTTTGAATGTTCCTTTCCTTCTTTTTTAACATTTTCCTTCTTCTTTGAAACCTCTTTCTTTTCCTTTTTAATTTTTCCATCATTCTTCAATTCTTCTTTTCCTTCCTTTTTAACTTTTCCATCTTTTGAATTTTCCTTTCCTTCTTTTTTAATTTTTTCAGGAGTTTTTTCCTTCTTTTCCGGAGTTTTTTCCTTCTTTTTTTTTATCACTCGGCCCTGCTTCCTGTCCTTTTTCTTCTTTTTTTGGTGTCTTTTTCGATTCAAATCCTGTCAAAATAAAGATAAGAAACTTATTAAAAACTGTAAAAATACCCATGGCTGAAAAACAAACAGCAACAATAAATTTACGTCAAATAATAAAATTTACTGAAAAAAGAAAATTCAATTAAAATACGGATTAAAATGAATATAAAGTCGAACAAACTGGTAAAGCGGATGTGAATTGGGGGGTTTTTATAGTATTATTAAAGACAGCGTTACGAAATTCGAGATCATCGCCGTATTAGCTTTTGGAGTGTTTGAGTATCCGGAAAAGGGAAAAGAAAACAAGCTATTTATTTTTTTCACTCTCTCTGGTTTCTTCACATTTCTTTATGCAGATGAAGAAGAAAACAACAATCACGAGTAAAAGGCAGAGAGAAAAAATGTCACGCACAATAAATAAGAGAAATGTGCGTGACGGTTTTTGAGGCTGAAAAAGAAGAGAGAAGTTGCTCGTCTACACCATAACCCCAGTCTCTAGCGTTCCAACTTTGGATGGCCATAACTCGGCCCAAAATAATTTTACAAGATAGCGGATATCACATTACAATAGGAAATCGGGAGTCCTCTATCAAATAGAACCAAGAAAAATATCGCTTCGTGGTTGTTACGATCCCTATAAACCACCAATTTTAAAATGACAAAAGCTACGTCAAAAATTGGCAAAATGTATTTTATTAGAACAGTGAAGCTTTCAAATAAAAAAATTTTTATTTCGTTTTTTTCTTCATTCTTTTCTTCCGTGCCCGCTCAAAGGATAGATGAATCAAAGGATAGATACGGCTAAAATCGATCAAAGGATAGACGCGGCCAAAAGCTGCTAAAGGATAGATAAGGCAAAAAACGATTAAAGGATAGATGCATCAAAGGATAGATGCGCCAAAGGATAGATAGGGGTAAAATCCATTAAAGTATAGACACTCTAAAATTGGGTAAAACATAGATAAAGTTTGGAGTCCAGTTGAGTACCGACTGTTGAGTGCCTGATCTTTGTTTTTTTCTGATCTTTGTTCTGATTTCATGTTTCTGTTCTGATTTTTATTTTATTCGTACTTTAGTATATTCACGGTAAAAAGTTTTTGCCGCTGCGGAGGAAGCCGGGCATGTCGAGCGGAACGACGGCCGCCGCTTCGCTATGGTCGCCGCGAGGAAGCGAGCACGACCGTAGCGAAGCACGGCCATCGTGTAGCGAAGACCATGCCCGGCCTACCCTCCATAGCAGCACAAAAACAGTTTTTCCAGCGAAGATTCAGATTGTTAAACATTTTTGTCCAGACTCAAACGACCTATTCAGCTGTCTATCCTTTGATCGCTTTTGGCCGTATCTATCCTTTAGCGCATCTATCCTTTGATGCATATATCCTTTGATAGTTTTTGGCCGTATCTATCCTTTAGCGCATCTATCCTTTAATTCATCTATCCTTTGTAGGGGAGCCTTTTCTTCAATTTCTTCTCAAAGTAATTCATTCATTCCATCATCTTCTCTTATTCCAAATAAAATTTTTGAAATATCTTCAGCATTTTCTTTGGTCAATAAGCGTCCATCATCCTTTGTTTTCTGCTGATGATGGTTCCAAACCATGACTCGAAACAGTTTTTCCAATCGAGAAATTGAAGGTTTGTTTAAGGTGGATAAAATTGCTTCATTGACTTCATATGCAAGCATATTGCGTTGATTCAGACTCTTAAAAAAATTTTTTTTAATTTAGCTCAAATTTTTCCCCTTTCTTTAATTTAATGTTATCCCTCGCTAAATCAAAAAAATTTTTGAGGAGGAGAAAGCCGACGAGATAAAAATAACGACTCAAAATAACAAACAAAAAAATCAACATTTACTCCAGTCCTGATTAGGAAAAAATTTTTTAGGCTGAGACCGAGACGGTGGGACGTATGAGAACAACCGCATCATGGTTAATTGGATGGATGGTCTTTAAACCTCAAAATCGAAGGAAGAAACTCTGGATCGGAGAGCAGAATCCGGTCCAATTTTCTTAAGAATACCTCTGCTCATTCCCTACCACCCACCTTTATCAAACAAAAAAAAGAGCTGGGAGAAAAAAGACTAAAAAGGAGCTTGGGGACAAAAGACCTAAAGGATTCCCCCCTTCCTACAAATCCCTCAAAATTTAAAAACAAATTGAAAAAAGAACCATTAGATATCCAAAAGGAGAAGTTTCTGGGTTATCAAAAGCAAGAAGTGCATAAGTTTGTTCCAACTTCGCAAATAATTCTTGAGGAATATCCGAGCATTTATCCGCAAGATTTGATTGGGCAAATGACAAAACTTTATCAACTTCTCTGAAAAAAAAATTAAAAATTATTTTATGAAAAAAATATTTGGGGTTTCTAAAGACCAAGAATTTAAGGTTCTTCTCCGTGTGGATTCTCCCCTTTTAGCCCTTTTCCCTGAAAAATTTTGCTAATTAATCTCATGTCCTCTTAAAGGCAAATATTCGTCGAAGCAGGGTGGAGATCGAGTTAAGAGAAAATGGTCAAGACGGGTTTAAAGAAAATTTTCCTTGGATCAGTTCTGGGTCTAAAAGATCAGAGAGCCTCGACCCACCTCTTAATCTCCAGCTAAAATGATAAGGATGCTTCTTGAGTTCACCTACACTCACCCACCCTTTAAACACTCATCCACCCATTCCCCTACTACCTTTTCCCCCCTTAACAACAAATTCCCTCCAATTCCCAAAAAAAAATATTAAATTCAAATAAGCCTAAAAAATCCCCCCAAATCCCAATCCCCTCTAAAATTCCCCTCCAAAATTAATTTTAAAAAACCTGACTTATTTCTAATTAATTCCACCAATTGTTGTCGTAACAATTTGAATTGAAGTTTTTGATTTGAGTTTAATAAATTTGGAGCAATTTCACCAATTAATCGAATAGCAGTCTCAATATCTCCATTTATTATACAATTATGAATAGCACTTCTTTCATTTAAGGTATCCACGTTTTTGGTATTTTCAAGAATTTTTTGATCAGACAAATCATTTTTCTTTTGTTGAGAAGTATCAGATGAAGGAGATAATTCAGCATCTTTGATTAATAAATCGGCTGAAAGAGAATAGAAATTAAAAAAAATTTTAAGAGAAACTCTGGTCATTCCATTTATTTTTCAGTCAAACTTCAGTATAAAGACGTCCCCCTCATTTTTCTATCTGACCTAGTTATAAGTAGAGACCGGAACGGGATCTAGACCCGGTCCCGTTTCCCGGTCCAGTTTCCCGGCCTTTTTGAAGATGCCGGGATCGATCCCGGTTTCCCGGCCGGTTAATTTTCATTTCCCGTTCCCGATCCCGGCTTTTTTCAAAATTCCGGTCTCTAGTTATAAGTCATATCCAACAAAATATGCCTCTATTTAATATACGATTTTTTAAAATTTGATTGGCTACTGGGTAGGGGCACCTAAGCCGATAATCAGTCGGATTCCAAAATTTAGGGTACTCCTCATTATAGTAAGAAACAATTTTTTACTCCCTAGGAGGTATTTAGAAATGAGATTCGACGGCCCCAAACCTCCTCAAAATAATCAAAATCCCCAAAAAAATTTAAAATAAACCTGCTTCCTTATATCCACTAAATACCAAATATTCAATGACCAATTCGTGTAATTTAACTGAATTATACTCTTCATTAGCATCTCCAAAATGATTGTTAAACCAAGCTTAATAAGAGAAATAATTAAAAATTAATTAAAAAATATTAAATTGTTTTTTTTATATTTTTAAAAATAATATTTATTAAATAAAAAAATTTTTCAACATTAAAAAAAAATTTAAAAATTATTTTTGACAGATTTTACCTTAAAAGAAAGCGATAACAAAACAATAAAAAACTATAGGGATTCGAACCCTCAACAACCATTAAAAACAATTGAACGCTAACCTACTATTAATCAACTTAACCACCACTACATAACACAAGTAAATTTATTTTTTCGACCAAATAGAATTATAAAGAATAACCCAGTAACTAGAAAAAAATACTAGACGCCCCTAAGATTAAAAAAAATTCAAAAAATTAATAAAATAAAATTTCTTAAAAATCTCAAAATTAAAAAAAAAATTATTAAAAACCTACAAGATTCACCACCATCAAAGTCATCTTCATTTGAACAAATTAATGAAGGTAAACAACCAAAGGTTTCGTCCGTATCCATTTTTAATATTATAGTTTTCAGAGAACAAAAATTTCTTCAGAAAATAAAAAAAATTGTTTAATAACCCTAAAAATATTTTTAAAAATATTAAAAAAAATTTTAAAATATTTAAGTTGATAAAAACAATGAAAAAAAAATTTAAAAAAATTTTATCGACTAATTTACTAGATCGTTTCATAAAAAAGTTCGTTTATTTTCACCGTATGATGAAAAAAAAATTTTTTTCACCATTTTTATCCGATTTTGTTTTTATCTTATTTTGTAGCCCAAAGTCTTAGCTCCATAATAGAACTAAAATTAAAAAAAATAGAAAAGACCGAAAAATTTCTATGCCTTCAGAAATGAGCGAACTTTTTTAAAAAATTAAAATAAATAAATTCATAAATTAAAAAAAAAATTTTTTAAGAGAAAAATAAATTTAAAAATAAAATTAATTTTAAATTATTAAATAAAAAAATAAAATTAAGTTTGAGACAATTATTTAAAAAAATAAACTTTTTTTCATTTTGTAAGGCCCAATTTTTTCATACAATAAGCTATTCCTTTTTCCTCAAAATCTGCTTTTGTTATCCATTGCTAAAAAAATAATTTTTTTAATTTAACAGGAACAAATTTCTAGCCTAAACAAGAAATTTTGGTCCTTTTGCTTTACCCTTTCAGAAAGTCCGCAAATTTAGTCCGCAAGTCTAAAAAAAAGTCCGCAAGTTTAGTCCGCAAATTTAGTCCGCAATTCATATAATTTATTTCATTAAAAATAGAGTATAAAGGAAGCGAAAGAGAAATGGAGAGACCCCAACAAATCAGTAGTTAACAGTGTTTGGGACTTTAAAATTTGCTCGAAATTTATTTATTGAACTCGTATACAGGTATGAACACGTGTACCTGCTTTCCAACACTGGTACCTACTAGAGGTCGGTCTTTTCAAAAATCCTGGATTTGGAGTTAGGTTAGTAACCTGGACAGGATTCTTGATCTGGATCCAGGAAAAATTCAGACTGAATCCAGATCCAAACCCATCTCTAGTAACTACAAGTCTGGTGGGGTCTCCCCATCAAATTGTAATTACACGGATACTCTAACTCATTTGGTAATAGTTTTCAAACACTAATAGTTTACTCGTTAATATTCTTATAAAAAACAAAAAAAATTTCCTATAGAAAACCCCCAAAAAATTTTTTAATTTTAAAATAACCTCATCATGATCTCGCATCAAATGAGCAAGTACAGCCCCTCCAAGAAATACCAAATGTTTTCGTTTAGGAGGTGCATCAATTCGAATTTTGAATTTCTTAAAAATTGATCAAATTAATTATTCAAAAAAATTTAAAAAAACCTGAAAGGCCTCCGTATTTCCCTTCAAAATCCTTTCCAAATAAAGTTGCTTTACTTCACGTTCCAATCGGGAAGGCAAGCCTGGGTACATTGTGGTGCCTCCAGATAGGATTATACGTTTGTAAAATTCAAGGCGAGTGTCTAGAAAAAATTTTCAAGAAAATTTCAGAAAAAAATTTTTTCTAAAATTTCAAAAATTTTTTCAAGAAAATTTTCATAATTTTTACAGAAAAATCTTCAAAAATTAAAAAAATTTTCAAAAAAAATTTCAGAAAAAAATTTTCAAAAAAATTTCAAAAAATTTTTTTTCACACCCTACCAATATCCGCAGACTGTATAACTTGAAAAAGTAGTTCAGACAGTCCAAGCCTTTCCACATTAGCCAAATGCGGCTGAAAAAGAATTTCTGGTGCTTCAAACCGTTCAGCACCCAATTTTATATTTCGACCATCTGGAAGCTTAAATTTTAATTTATTAGTTAAAGAAAGAAAATTTAGAAAAAACCGTATATGTTTCAGTCAAAACTGTTGTTTCTAAGGCAAGTTTTTGTTCCTTCTCTACATCGTATCTTAAAAAATTTTTTTTAATAATTAAAAAAATAAATAGAAAACTCACGCCACATAACAAAATTTCTCTTTTAATTGCCTAACAGTTTCAAAATCTGCAGAGTGGTTGAAAGCATATCCACGATATTGTAGAAGCTAAAATTTTTTAGAATAATATAAATGGGTTTTGAAACTCAAAAACAATTCAAAAATCAATGATGGTTCTAGTGGTTATTGTGAGGGTAACACGTCGTATTGCTAAAACGTTACCAAACCCTGAGGCCGTAGAAACAATAAACTGTGGAAAACGCTATGTACCAAACCTCCCAACGGGTAAAGATTGTTCAAATATATTTCTATAGGCCGTTTGTTTGACTATACTGATTTACACGTTTTAGTAACACGGCCAGACCCACAGCCAGGAGTTCTAGTGGTTACCGAATTTTTGGTGCCTGCGGATGACAGATGGGCCTCTTTCCCCCATCCCGAAAAAAATCCTGGATCTTATTGTCCTATTTCTACACCAAAAAAGCTCTTGTAACACTAAACAACAGAAAAAAAACCTTAATCAAATGTTTAGTAATATCTCTTCCAGCAACATCCAATCTCTTTGTAAGATGGCTTAAAGCAAATCCTTCAAAAACTGGACAAATATGAGTCACTCCATCGCCGCTATCAATAACCACACCAGTATGGAGTCCTTGAGCGTAGAGGGTCAAAACAGCCTAAAAAATTTTAAATTTTTAAGAAAAAATTTTTCAATCAAAAATAACCTGTATAGCTATAAAAACTGCATGAAATCCATACTGTTCAAACATAACTTCAAGCAATTTTTCTCTGTTGCTGTTCGGATTTAGTGGAGGTTCAGTTAGCAGGAGTTTACAATCCTAGAGGAAAAATTTTTTTTTAATTTTGAACTAAAAACTAGAAAAAACGACATTCAAAGAAACTTAAAGGTCAAAGCAACACAAACTGACTCCCAAGGAACCAAACCCTCGAACGCAACAGAAAATCATTTGGAAAGGCTTCGCGTTCTTGAGACAGAAAATGAGAGCACAGTCCAGGTAGGCGCGCGGCCATAACGGCGTAAAGCCATAACTTGCAAAAGATTTACGAATCTTACCAAATTTGGTACCAAACTACCCCCTCATCGAGCTGAAGAGATTAGCACCAAAATTGATGAGGGCCAGAAATTTAACAGCAAAATATGGCTTCGCGCCGTTATGGCCTCGCGCCTACTTGGGTGTGTCCCAGAAACTTTTCTCTACTTTTTTCTAATTTTTTTTTGTCAGAAGAGGTCCCGATTTTTAAATAAGCGTAGCATAACACAAAAAGGTAAATGTGGAGATTACTGGTCCCGAAAAAAATGAACAAAGAAATGAGTTTTTGATATTTTTGAGGGTTGCCAGTAGGTAGTCGAGTGTGCTGAGTCCGAATCTGAGCTTAGAATTTGTTAATTTCAAACCACGGATCCGATTTCGACCAAGTCGAATTCGGAGTAAAAAATTCGAAATTAATTTTGATACCAATCGACTCAACTCGAATAGGCGTGTCAGATTAGCCTTAAATTTTTAATTTCGAATTTTTTACCCCGAATTCGACTTGGTCGAAATCGGGTCCGGGGTTTGAAATTAACAAATTCTAAGCTCAGATTCGGACTCAGCACACTCGATTACCTACTGGCAACCCTCAAAAATATCAAAAACTCATTTCTTTGTTCATTTTTTTCGGGACCAGTAATCTCCACATTTACCCACAAAAAAAACAACAAAAAATATTCTCCAAAAATTAAAAAAAAATCCAAACCTTAGGGTCAATATCCATCTTTTCCGGCCCAAACGTATAATCCCACAAGTGTCCCATATCCTCCCAACTTTTAACTATTCCATTGCTCATCGGGTAGTTTACATCCAGCAAGTGTCTAGCGTCTGTACATTCTTCCCCAACCATTAAATCCTTTTAAAAAATTTTTTTCAAAAATTTTTTTTAATTTCAAAAAAACCTTGATTGGCCTGTTATTAACTATTTGTTGAGTATTTGAACGAACTAGAGGCCTTCCTACAGCTGAAGGGAAAATAAAATCGGGGAAGTTTGAACCAGCATAGCCACATTTTACAAACTTGAAAAGAAAAAAAAATTTTTTGAAGATTTTTGAAATTTTTTTTAAACTTACACCTGTCCCGTTATCTACAACAATTACTTTTCTTCCATTTTTGTCCATTTTTTGAATTAAAAAAATTTTTTTCTCTAAAATAAATAATAATAAATTATAAATTAAAATTTTCCTTCAGTAAATCAATCACAGCCTCTTTAATTATTTTTTGTGATTTTTGTAATGATATACATAAGTAAACAGGTAATTAAATTAATTTTTGAATGACTCATTTTCAGGTTTTTAAAGTAAAAATGACTGACTCATGGCCCCAAAAGATTCTCCAAATAAAAAAATATTTTTAAATTTTTGATGAAAAATTAAAACACAAAAGGAGGTACAGACAAAACGGCGCGTGGCAATAACGGCGCAAAGCCTTAACTTTTATAAAAATCCATCCCTTAACAATTTTAGTACCAATCTCCTCAGCTAGATGAGTAGACTTGTTTAATGCTAAATTTGGTAAGACTAAAAAATCTTAAAGCAAGTTATGACTTTGCGCCGTTATTGCCGCGCGCCGTTTTGGGCGTGTCCCCACAAAGGGTTAAAGTGTCAGTTGAGTGTGGCCGGTTGAGTACCAGCAAGCTATAGCTTTGTTACAGCTCGATATCTGATAGATGTATTTACCAGATACATAAAAATTTCAAAATAAATAAAAAATATAATAATAGATTATTCAATAATCAATTTTTGAAAACATTTTTTAATATTTTTTTAATATTAATTTTTAAAAAAATAAAAATGTGACAAAATTTTTAAAAATCTCTTTTTAAATAATTTTCACTCAACAAAAAAAAAATTTTTTGCCCTAATTTTTCCTTTACTCTTCGAATACACCTAAATATTCTTTGTCTTATAATTATTTATTAAAGACAAAAAAATTTTTTTTCAAAAAAGTAAAGAAAAATTAAGGGCACAACACTTGGAATTTCCAAAAAAATTTTTTCAAAAAAATTTTCAAAAAAAAACCTCCTCCATTAAAACCTATCAAATTTCCAATCCAAAGTTTGTTTTTCTACCAATTTTTGAAATATTCCATCTTTTATATTCATTAAATCATCAAAACAACCCATTTCTGCAACACTTCCTTTATCCAATACAACAATTTGTTCTGCATGTTTTATTGTTGATAAACGATGGGCAATTATTAAAATTGTTTGTCCACTTTTTGATAATACTTCTAATGATTTTCGGACCTTTAAATAGAAGAAAAATTAATTTCTGCGGACATTTTTTTTATTTTTTTGCGGACTTTTTTATTTTTTGCGAACATTTTTTACTTTTGCGGACTTTTTTTTACCTTTGCGGACTTTTTTTATTTTTGCGGACATCTTTTACTTTTGCGGACTTTTCATTAATTTTTGCGGATATTTCTCATTTTTGCGGACAATTTTAATTTTTTGCGGACATTTTTTTATTTTTGCGGACATTTTTAATTTTTGCGGACAAGTAGTTTCAATGTAAAAGAGATTTATCTCTTTATCGTCAAAAAACGTCCGCGAAATTTTTTAACAAAAAATACCAAATATTCACTAGTCGCATCTAAAGCACTTGTTGCTTCATCCAATATTATAAAACGAGGTTTCTGCAAAATTATTAGAATTGTTAGAAAAAATATAATTTGGATACCATAATTAATGCACGGGCAAGAGCAATTCGTTGTCTTTGACCTTTAAGAAAAATTAAATCAAATTTATAAAAAAATTTTCCTTTTTAATAGTAAGAGAGAGTACAAGTAGGGGGCAGGCAACGATCCGATGAGCTGATTTTGATCTGGGAAGGCATTAAATTTACATTCGGGAAGTCACCTAGCAATAGGTCAGCGTGCTCCCCGATCCATGCTCCCCAACCATCGTATAGGTCAGCATAGGCTACCGACTGCTTCTCACCCTCCCTTTTTTAAGTAATAGTCCCTCCTAGCCTAGTAGGCGTCTTTAACTGTTAACCAGTTAAATTTCCCTTCCTTAAATTATAAAAAATTCCTAATTTTATATACCTCCACTTAACATAGACGATCCATGTTCTCCAACCATTGTATCAAATCCTTGAGGAAATGAACGAATAAATTCTAAAGAGTTTGAAAGTTTGGCAGCTTTTTCAATCTTAATTTAAAAAAAAATTTTTTATCGCAAAATAAATTAAAAAAACCTCTTCATCCCCAATTTCTACACCTTCTGGAACTCCATACAAAATATTTTCTTTTATTGTAGCTGAGAAAAGGACAGGCTCTTGACTTACTACTCCGCACATTTTTCGCCACTCTTTTAAAATTAAAAAAAAAATTTTTATAAAAAATAACCAAGAAAACCTGAAGGGTCTATATTTTTCATATCTTGTCCATCAATTAAAATACGTCCTTGAGTTGGGGAATATAGCCTAAAAATAAAAGAATTAATTTTGCCTTTGTGCTTCCAAAAGTCTACAATTTTGAAAAGTCCGCAATTTTTATCCGCAAATTTTCTAAGGATTATATTTTGATTGTAGTACTGGGCCGTAACCAGAGGGGGTTGAAAGGAAATGGGGAAAAGAAAATAATTTGAGTAAGGGATTTTTCTCATGCCCCCCCCCTCCAGGAACCCTGGTTACGGCCCTGTTGTAGTAGTCGCAATTTAGGAACGTTTTCCGATTAGTGGATGTAGAAAGAAGCTGCATAAGCAACCACAAAGACACGAGTTTTTTTTGGTCACAAGTTGCGTAAAAATTATTTATAAAAGCAAAACTAATTTTAAAAAATTATATAATACTTTATGAATAGGGTTGTCGGTTCTTGGAAAATCTTCGGATATCCGGAACCGAAAAATCATCGGTTCTTCGGTCTGGTTCGGTCCAGAACCGACAACCCTATTTATGAGAAAATAAATATTCAAACTTGCAATTAAAAAGTTGCGGACTTTTCCATAATTATATTAATAAAATTAAAAAAAATAACCTTAACAATAAATGTGCAATTGTTGATTTTCCACAGCCCGAAGATCCAACAATTGCTGTTGTAGAACCAACAGGTATTTTAAAAGTTATATCATTAAAAATTGGGTCACGATCAGGATATGAAAATGCAACACTTTCAAAACGTATTCCTTCCTTCAAATCGGTTAAACAGACACCTCCTATAAGTTAAAAAAATTTTTCAATATTATAACGAAGGTTCGCAACTAAAGTTTTATTGTTTAAAATCCGCAAACACGCAGTTCGCTATAAGCCTGACTAGCATCAAGGTTGCAAATTAGTTGCCCCATGTCCCAAACCAAAAAAGTACTAAAGAAACAAGAACAACACCCAAAAAAAGAAAAAATGCGGGACCCGAACCCAACTTAAAATAAAGGAGCTTTTTTTTAATATTGGTACTATCGCATTATATCCCCCCATCGTCCGTAAATGTTTGTCTGCAAAAGTTTTACTTGCCTCTCCTTCCTTCTTTTTCCTCTCATAATGACTAAAAAATGGTCAGGGATTAATATTTGACAGACACTTGTTTAAATTAAATTAGTCATTTTTTAATCATTATAAGAGGAGAAAGAAGGAAGGCGAGGCAAATAAAACTTTTGCGGACAAACTTTTGCGGACGGTGAAGGATATAGTGATTTAAAAACCTTCCCAACTTACCACTCAAAGGAATTTTTGGTTTTGTATCTCTCAATTCAAAAAGACGTGAAGACGCTCCCAATCCACGCATAAGTTCGGAATAAAAAGTTCGAATGTTTGAAATGTTTGCAGAACAGAGAATTGCATAAATAACAAATGAAGATAAATCGCCATAAGTGAGAAGGCCACAACTTATTAAATGACTTCCATAATAGAGAAGAGAAGAAAGGAAGCCATATCCAACAATATAATAACTGAAAAAAGGGGAGTGTTATTTAGTGATTTTTGGACAATTTTTGAGAGACGCGAGTTTTTTGGTTACAAATAGGAAAAAATAAGGAGAGTCCAGAACTAGTGTTTTAATTTTTTGTCCATTTGAATTTTGTAGGGTTTGCAGGGATAGGCTGGAATGAGTAAAAAAGCCCCGAGTCGAGTTTTGGATCGCGGTATTTATTTAGATTTTCCTCGGATCAGTTCAGATCGAGTTTCGAGTCAGAAAAAGGTTTCGGGTCAAAAAAAACAACAGAACTTCAGTTTTCGGGTACTCGGTCTATTCCTAGTTTACAAGATATCTTTGCATTTTTCTGGACTTATGACTAGGTATTGGATTATCCATTCATAAAACACAGAAAAAATCCGTTAAAGAATTTTTAGGTCAAAAAATCATTCCAAAATCTCCCGAAAAAATTCAAAAAATCTCAACAAACCCTCCAACAATAAATGCAGTAGCACGTCCTTCTTTTCTTGAAATTTCCCAAATATCAGAAATTTTATTTCTATAAGCTTTCAATTCTTTATTTTCTGCCACAAAAACTCTGACAGTTTTGACATTTGAGAGACGTTCAGTTGCCAACTGAAAAAAATTTTTTCTACCCAAAAAATTTAAAAATAACCTCATTAGTTCCAGCAATTGCTTCTTGCATTTGAGTAGCATAATAACCTATCCATTTACCATAAACAAGGAAAGTTCCAGCAATAAAAGGAATGACAATTAGACCCAAAAGAGAAAGTTCTGGTGATGTATATACCTGAAAAAAAATTTTTTTCTTTAATTTTTTTAAAATTTTAGAAACAAAAAAATAAAACGGCATCTATACTTTTATCATTAAAATGAAGAGGATTTTTAAAAATTGTCAACATATACTATTTTGCGTCGGTCTATGGTTAGTAGAGATCGGCCTGGGTATGGACTAAGGCCTGGGTTTTTCCTGTACACAGAGTCCAGGCCCAGGCATTTTTGGCCTTCCTTGGTTTTTCCTGGACTCAGGCCCAGGACCCCGCCCAGGTCAATAAATTAAACCCATAGTCCAGGAACAGATCCAGGCTTTCCAAAAATTCCGATCTCTAATGGTTAGTGGATATCCAAGGGCTGTAATAGAGCACACAACCTTCTATAGCCACCTCGAAATCCGACTCCTTTATAAACCTTTGGTAGTGAGGGAAAACATTGAATAGACGGGCAGCTTCCCCAAAGAAGTTTGGTGAAGCTTCACCAAAGGAGTCGCTAAAGGAGTCAAAAGCTTCACCAAAAGAAAAATTTTCAAAAAATTAGGTTCCCTCATTTCGCTTTTTCAAACCCTCCCCCTTATAAATTAAATAAACCATCATTCCTGCAGTCACAAACGAAGTGAAAAGTGAACGAATACCATCACCCAAATTTGTAGATAGAGCATTTCCAACAATATAAGCATCTGAAGATAGACGGCTTACAATTTCCCCAACTTTATTTTTATCAAAGAAAGCCATATCTTGTTGGAGAATGTTGCGGAAAACGTTTGTACGTAAATCGTTGACTATGAGTTGACCTTTAAATTTTCTTGGTTAAGAAAATCTTTTAAATTTTTTTCTTCAACAATAGATCAAAAATTGAGTTAGATTCCTTAAAAATAGCAAAGAGAAAAATGACACCCATAAAGAGGAATCGAACCCACACCTTCAATTAACCAAAGCAGACACAGTCGCACTTAACCACAGACTCATCCACCAACATCACCAATTTTCCCCGTGTCAGGCTAACTTACGGAACGGACAAGTCGCGGAACAACAAGACACGGAATAGACAAGTCGCGGAACGGACAAGTCACGAAATTACTAAATCACGGAATGACCAAAACATGGAATTACCATAACATGGAATATTTTAAAAATTGGAATTTAGGAAAAATCCGAACTTTTTACTAAAAAAGAATTTAAAAACAAATTGTTGGTAGTTCCGTAATTTGGTAATTCCGTGACTTGTCTGTTCCGTAATTTGGAATTCCTCGAGTTAGCCCCCACCCCAATTTTCTCAACAAATACCAAAACAAAAAACAAACTTGTTGTATGCATCAAATAAATACGTCCACCAATTGCACATGCCCCAACAGCAAGAATAATACCTATAGCCCATGGATTATAACGAAGATAACGTGCTATTCTTCCAAGAAAATCATCTTCCTTTTCATTTTCTTTCTTTTTTGTATCATTTTGAGGAATTATTGAAAATAAATTTAATTCATTTTTTGATTCTTCTTCTTCCTCAGGTTTTCTGTCTTCTGGTTTTGAAGTGTCAAATTCATCAATCATTTTGCCAAGAATTCGAGGTAGTGTTAAAAATAGGCCAGAGCCAATAGAAAGAAAGACTAGGCCGGCTAAAAAAATTTTTTAGAAAATAATTTTGGGACAAAATGTCCTCCAAAAAAATTTTTTTTGGGACAAAATGTCCTACCAAGAATTTCCTAAAATGTTTTTGAGACCAAATTTCATCCCAAAAATTCTATTAAAAAATAAATTGTTAGGGCCAAAGTACCACCGAAATTTTCAAAAAAAAATTTTTTGGGATAAAATGTCTTCCCAAGAATTTCTAAAAAAAATTTTAACACAAAATTCCAACCCAAAAATTCTATTAAAAAATAAATTTTTGGGAAAAAATGTCCTCCCAAAAAAAATTTCAAAATTTTTTAGGGACAAAATGTCTTCTCAAGAATCTCCAAAAAAGTCGAGACCAAATTCTATTAAAAAATAAATTATCGGGGCCCCATCGATTTTTCAAAAAAATTTCTTTCCCAAAATAAAAATTTCCAAACCTATAATTCTCCATTTATAAGGCAATGCTAAAACTGCAATTCCTTTTACATCACTAATTTTTAAATCTTTAATAAGTTTAGGTTGTCGTTTAGACTCTCCACTGCTAAAATTTCTTCTCAACGGCCTGAAGAGTAAACGCAATTTTTGTGGTGAAAGAAATTTCGTGGTGAAGAGGTCAACCGTTTCATTTCGTCTAGACAACAAATTTGAAGATATTTTGGTTGAGAAATGTCTAAAAATTAAAAATCAACTTTTATAGGAAAATTAGGAAAAAACTAAAATTGGCTTAAAGACAGAAAGCTTATTGTTAGAGAAAACTCTGGGTGAGTATGGCCCCCTTCCCTATACCTATAACGATTCTATGGGAGCACGGCGAACCGATTACAAATAGAAAAGTGATTTAAACATTCAACATTGATCTATTTATATCAGTCTAAAGTTGGTAACACATTTCAAGTGACCACTTTAATATAGAAAAGAATGAGGGTTACCATTCTCCCTGTTATTTTCAACCCAAAATGTCCGCTAAAACTTTGCAGACAAAAAATGTCCGATTGCTCGTAAAAATAAACGAGCAAATGCCACCTATTACGCCTGTTAAACCAACTCAACACCCCAACCAAAATAACACCAAAAATCCCAAAACCCATTTAAATTAAAAAAAAAGAAAAACCTTGTATTAGACAATAATCTCAAATTTGTTGCACTCAAATTTAAAAGACGCGAAGTTGATGTCGGCACATCACAAATACAACGTCTACCAAAAAGTATTAACCATCTCATTTATTTTTTTAATTTGTCTCGAGAATATTGTCAAGAATAATTGAAAATTATAAAAATAAAAATTTTAAAAAATTTCAAGAAAAATTTTTTAAGTATTTCTTTACATGGAAAAATGAGCATAAACAAGAAAACAGTTAAAATAAAAAATTACATTTTTTTACATATTTTTTACAAATTTTAAAAATTTACAAATTAAGAATCCTTTTAGAGAATATTAAATTGATAGGGCAAATTGCGGTTTTAATTTTTTGCGGACAAGTTTTGCGAACTAATTTTTTTGCGGACAAATATTCTTCCTAAACAAATCATCCGCTTTGACATGATCCTTTGCAGAAATCAGAAGTCAAATTTATAGCCATTACTTCTTTAACCAGTTCTAGTTTGTCCGCAAAACGTGTCCGCAAAAAATTTGCGGACAAATTTTGCGGATTAACATACTTTTACGGATTAACGTTATTTCACAAAAATAATGTCTTACATGTCTCTTGATAAAAACCCGAAGTAAAATTCTAGCAAATAACTTATCTATTAGTTTAAATCTGTCCGCAAAACTTGTCCGCAAAAAATTTTTTGTCCGCAAAAAATTTGCGGACACGAAAAAAATTTGCGGACAAACTAAAAAAAATTCTCTAAAAGGATTACCACAAAAATGCCACAACAAAAAAATACACAATTAAAATTAAAATAAAAATTCAAAAAAATCTTCCAAAAATTGCCAAAGACAATTTGTTTGTTATATTTTGAGCAATACAATAAAATGGAATCGCCGGGAAATTTAATTTATTATTATTTCCTTTTAAAGTTGAGAGAATTTCTGTATCAACCAAACAAGAACTGACAATAAAGAAGGGAAATAAAGCTCCAAAAATACATCCAGAAATTATAAAATTTGAAGAATAATTTGTTGCAATTGTTAAAATTGTGCCAAAACCGAGATGGAAGGGCCAACGACGTTCGATTAGGGCAATACGGGAATTCTGTTAAAAATTATGATTTTTAGAATTTAAAACTTAATGATTAAAAATTATGATTTTTATGATTTTTAAAATTATGATTTTTTGAGGGAGGATTTTTTAATGGTCTTGGGATTTAGGTAATGTCCGAAAAAAGAAGTAATACCTCTTAAATTGGGAGGTTTAAAGGTAGGGTTGGAGTCCGGTCTGGTTCGAAAAATCCAACCCTATTAAAAAAATTATAGGAAATGGAAGGAAAATGGGAAAAAAATCTCGTTTATGAAAAAAGGCTATCGAGAAAGAATAGAAAGATTAGAAAGTAAAGGTTGAAGTTGATAGAGGTATGTCGTCAAACCTGAACAAAAATCTAAAGGGTCGAAAAATGGCCTAGAACCGATCGCCTAATAACCGGTCACTAATCAGAAAAGACGGATCAAATCTCTTGGAATTCTCATTTCGTGGAAAAAAAAACAAAATGAAGACAACGATGCTTTTCTTCCCTCCCTGTTTAATTACTCCCAAAAATTATTTCTTTTAAAAATATTTAAAAAATACCAAATTAACTCCATTACTCATCCAAATATAGTCAAAACTATACAAAGAATTTAGCAATGCCATATAAACAAATCCAAGACTAAAAACAGAATTTATTTAAAAGTTCTTTAAAAAATTAAAAAAAAAACCTTGAAGAAATTATAGGCAAATTAATGTTAAAAAACAGCATTGCTTGGAATAAAAAAACTAATTCTACAATAATTGCATGAACAAAATCGGAAGCGGCCCGAGCATAATCTGGAATTTTTTGGCCTGTTTGCCCACGGTAACGGAGTGCTGCACCGGCAACATCGGCGAACCAGAGAATCTATTGGGGAAAAATTATTTTTAGGTTTAAAAATGGAAATAAAAAAATTTTAAGAAATTTTTTTTAGTTATTTTCTCATTGAAAAAATTTTCTTCACCTACTTTTTACGAGTAAAAATAATTTCAAAGAAAAACTAGCAATTGTGAACGAGAAAAAGCAGAAAAACATCTAACGGAATCGAACCCATCCAGTCCTACCCACAAGACTAACACCTTACCAACTCGGCCAAGAAAACAACTTGGCAGCCCATCAAAATGTTAACCTATATTTTTAGGCTTAAAAGAGGAAAAAAGTAACAAAAACCCAATTACCCAAAATTAACACTTAAAAATTGACAAAATTAATTTAAAAAATAACCGATAGCAGCCGAACAACAATCAATACAGGAATAAGCACAGAAGATCCCAAGCAACTGACAAATGAAGAAAATAGAGTATTTTGCCCAGCAAAATTTACAAAATAAGCAATTGACAAAACGAGGAGAACGGAGGCAATGTTGGCACAGACGCACTTAAAAATTAAATAAAATTAAAAAATAAATGGAGAAATAATAGAAAAATAAAATCAAACACAAATTAAGAATAACTTTGAATTTCCTCGAAAATTAAAAATTTTTCCCTTTCAGAGAAGGTCAAAAAGGCACATAAAGGTAGCCTTTTTGAGCCAACTTGGAAATGAAGACCACTCCAAAAATCAAATTTTAAAATTAATTAAAGAATGGTTCCAAGGGTAAATAAGGGAGCTGATTACGAATATAAACTCCGTTTTGGTGTAAAATGAACTTGACCGCTCCAAAAGACGAAAACTTTGAAGTCCTATAACTTTTCGATTTGGAGTCGGAGCCAAAAAAGCCAAAAATTTGCAATAGGTTATCGACCACGCTCTACACGATGGCGCAATAATTACAAAATTTTTGGTGGCAGTTCGATAGGTTTCCTTGTAAGAGAAATCGAATTTTTTCCCAAAAATCATCCCCAAGGATCTGATGAAATTGGGAACCCAAAAATTTCCAAAAGAATTTTAATTAAAAAAACTTAAATAAAAGAAGTAACATACAGAAAAAAATACCCTAATAATACGTTTAGGAGTTGAAACTTTATTTATTTGTTCAGGCTGTGGAGGTTTACTGCAACGCTTTTCGAGTTCTTGTTGTCTGCGTTTTTCGAGTACTGTTTGGAAAGATGTTGTCGATTTTTGTTGTTGTTGTCGTCGATGTTCGGTTACCTTTAAAAAATTTTTTTAGCTTTTAAACCAAATATAGGCTACACAAAATACCAAATACACCCAAAACTTTTGGGTACTATTGACTTATAGGGGACTTTTTTTGGCTGGACCGATTTCGACAAATGATATGTCATTCGAAAGAGCTCGTCGAGCTGAGTCTAATGAGGGGTGAATGGTGTCGATCCGACAATCAGGGACCGAGTTACAGACCCCTGAAGTTTAAAAAAGAGAAGGGGGAAGTAAGCTCTCTTTGGTCAAAAAATTCAAAAATGTAAATTATAGCTCATTCGAAAGAACTCCTCGAACTGAGTCGAATGACACCAAAATCAGCTCGATTGAACAAGTTTGGACAAAGTTATGTGTCGTTTTTAGCTCCTTACCTATGGTCTCCGCGGTTTTTGCTGCTACAAGGCCCCGGGTACGTCCAAAGCAAGGGAAATAGGAATAGGTTTATGTTACGAGCCCAGACCCAGCGCCCGTAGACTCCCCGCGAGGCGCGTGCCGCAAAACTCCGCGCGAAGCGCGGAGTTTTGCACAAGCGCCTCGCCGACGCCCCATAGGTTTACGTTGTTTATTTTTTGTGTCATAACTTTGTCCAAACTTGTTCAATCGAGCTGATTTTGGTGTCATTCGACTCAGCTCGAGGAGTTCTTTCGAATGAGCTATAATTTACATTTTTGAATTTTTTGACCAAAATGAGCTTACTCCCCCCTTCTCTTTTTTAAATTTCAGGGGTCTGTAACTCGGTCCCTGATTGTCGGATCGACACCATTCACCCCTCATTAGACTCAGCTCGAAAAGCTCTTTCGAATGACATATCATTTGTCGAAATTGGTCCAGCCAAAAAAAGTCCCCTATAAGTCAAGATTTCCAACTTTTGGTACACATTTTTTAAAATTGCGGACAAATTTTTGCGGACAAAGGATATTTGCGGACAAGTGAAAATTTGAAAAAGTGTGGAGCTAAGCAATATCTACAATTTTTAAGAGACACCAGCTCATTATAAGAATACTCTTCCAATCCTTAAAATATTTACAAATGAGGAGAAGCTCCCCACCACCCACACATTTAAATCCTATACAGGTCTAAAGCAGACTTAACCAACCTCAGCCTGGCATCGAACCTGAATCTTAGAGATCGAGCTGGATCTGGACCCAGACCTTGATCTTTCCTGGATCTAGACTCCACATCAAAGCATTTTTCAGCTTCCTTAATTTTTTCCTTGACTCAAGGTTCTTAATCTAGTCAAGGTCCTCAGTTAAACTCAAGGTCAATTTGAAAATCTCGATCTCATGTAAATTAATCATAAAAATAAACCTCTTCCAATCCCGAGTATAGTTACAAACAAGTTTTTAGACTTACAATGCTCGAAACAGGCGGATTATCAATTTTATGCAACACCAAAAATCCTTGAAGTGAACAAAACAATCCTCTGAAATACTCAGCACAAATAGAAAATAAAATATCAGTTAATCCACCCATTATTTTATTTTAATTTAAAAAAATAAATAAACCATAAATTGTTGAATAAATGCATTTTTCTAAAAAAACAAATTTATTTAAATAGAAAAAATTTTTTTAAAGAGGGGAGAAGCGCGGAAAAAAATTTTTCTCATGCCTTTCTAAGAACCTGAAAAGAGATTAAAAAATGTTTATTTTGTAGTTTAATAGGAAAAAGTACTTTAAAGATTGCCGACAGACACTTGCGGACTAAAATTTGCGGACAGAAAAAATTTTTGCGGTAAAAAAAATTTTTTGCGGACAAAAAAATTTTTGCGGACTAAAATTGCGGAAAAAAATTTTTTTTGCGGACAAAAATTTTTTTGCGGATTAAACTTGCGGACGGAAATCAACGAGTTACTCAAAAGGAAAATAAAAATAATTTTCTAAATTTTCAGACAACTTATCAGAAAAAAATGTAGTACATATTTTAAAAATCAAAGTCATTTTCCGTCTTTTCCTCTACCGACCAAAAACCAAAAGATTAAAAAGCAGGCAAAATAAATAATCAATAATACACTCCTAGTTGAGCAAAAATGAAAAATAAGACATTAAATTTGAATGTCGTTACGATTATAAAAACGATAAAGGGGAATGGGTTTTAAAAAATGATTTTTAAAAAATATCAAAAATTCAAAGAAATAAAAAAAACCTTTAAATTAATACACTTAAAATAAAGCCTAAATGAACGCAAACAATTAAAAAATTACTAAATAAGAATAAAAGGGACACGCCCAAGTAGGCGCGCGGCCAAGTAGGCGCAAAGCCATAACTACCTGAAAAATTTATGGACCTTAACAATTTTGGTACCAATCTCTTTAGCTCGATGAGAGGAATCGTTTAATACCAAATTTGTTAAGATTCGGAAATTTTGAAGCAAGTTATGACTTAGCGCCTACTTGGCCGTGCGCCTACTTGGGCCGTACCCAGAATAAAAATCATTTGATTAAAATAACACATGAAATTTTCGTGACAGTCTGATAAAAAATTGTTACGACATTTGGACAGATACAATTGACTATACGACAATTAAGCACAAGACAATTGATAATATGACAATTGGCCACGTGACAATTAGCCAAATGAAAATTGGGTATACGACAATTGGGTATATGACAATTGAGTACGACAAAATAAAAATCACTTGATTCGACGAAAGGACACAAGACAATTATCCGATTGATGATTAAGTAAACGACAATTGGGTATACGACAGTTATACTGAAACAGTGATTTATTTGACGAGTTTTCGAATTAAAAAGATTAAAAAGGAAATAAAAAATCTAATCAAATTAATTTAATTCTATTCAATTAATTTTCTCTTTTAATTGATAAACGCTTTCACACCTTACACTTTTTAGTTAATTAGTTCCGGCTATTTTTTTGATTGACCACACACACAAACAAGCTTTTTCTCTTTAAATATGGGTCATTCTTGGATTTTTAAACTTTTATCTCTTTAATTATCATTTTATCATTATTTATCATTTTATCAAAAAATTGAGAAAAATTTTTCTTTTTAATAAACTCTCGTTATTAGCGACCCTCTTAATAACGGAAATTCGATATAAGCGACTTTTCCCTTTAAACCCGAAGAAATTCTGATTTTTATCTACAAATTCTGGTTTAATTCTGATTTTCTGAGTCGCTTATACAGGGAGTTTTTGTGAGTCGCTTATAGCGAGAGTTGACTTTATAGAGTATTTTTTGATTTTTAAAGAGATGTTCGAAGAATCCTCTTCAAAAACAGTTTTTCTCCTTTCTATAGTTTCCTGTGCTTCTCTAGCCTCCCTCATAATACTGATACCTATAGCACATTTTTCGATGCAACGACGGCTTTCTTTGCTAATTTCTGTTGCTAATGAATGCAAAGTATTCTTAATTAAAAAAATTTTTTTAATTAAAAAAATTAAAGTTGGAATCCAAAAATTTATGGAATGATTTAAACAGAAATAGTTATAAAATTGAAAGATTTCGAAGAGAGACTGGTAATAATAATTATGCAAAATTTGAACAAGCAGAGAAGGAGAATTTATGTTGTGCTTGCAAACAAGGCTAGTAGAATAATAAACGTTAAATTCTGATTTTTATAATAAATTCTGGTTGTCATAAATTCTGATATTCTGATTTTGCTATTCTGACATTTTGATTTTTAAAATTTTGGTTCCAAAATTCTGATTCTTAAATTCTGATTTTAAATTCTGTTTTTTTAATTCTGATTTTTAAATTCTGATTTTTAAATTCTGTTTTTTTAAATTCTGATTTTAATTTTTTAAGTTCTGATTAGTTCTGATATTTTTAAAATTCTGATTAGTTCTGATTTTTAAATTCTGATTTAATTCTGATTCCTTTTCAAGGCAGCCCCGGACCCCCCGGAAAGGCAGGAAAACCTGGAAGACCAGGAACAGACGGAACACCAGGGAAGTGGGGATGGGGCGGAAGACCAGGGAAATACATTGCAGCATCGAAGGATGAATCAGCGTCAGATTCTTGCCTTAAAGTAAATAAATATTTTTGAGAAGTTTAACTCCTTTTTTAGTGTTATCCCGGCATTCCTGGACCACCCGGTGCTCCGGGCTTAAAAGGGTTGCCAGGCTTGTCTGGAGAGCCTGGAAAACCTGGAAAGAATGGAGTAAGTAGCAAGAACGGATTGACCGGTGCTGCTGGTCAAAGAGGAGAGGTTAATATTTTTGACCATTTTGTACATTTTTCTCAAACAATTTTTTCCCTTTATAGATCGGCTTCCCGGGTATTAAAGGCCCACCAGGCGACCCAGGCCGAGTTTTGAACGGTGCTCCTCCAGGGCCTCAAGGTGCTATTGGATTGCCTGGCCCTCGAGGCCCTCCAGGAAAGAGTGGCAAGGACGGAGAATGGGGAATGCCTGGCAGTAAAGGAATGAGAGGTTTAATGGGTCCGAGAGGTGAATTCGGAGTTGTTGGTATGCCTGGGCCGCAAGGATCGCCGGGGGAGCCTGGTCCAGCAGGAGGCTGTTGGCACTGTAAACAAGGTGAGGCCATCTTAAGTAGTGAACTTGCAACAACTAGACTATAATAGGAGAAACCTCGGTACCCACTAATTTCCTTAATGCGTTGGAACAAGAGGAGGCAAAGGACTTTTACAGGGACTAAGTGAAAATAATGTTTTTATATTTGGAAACGAGGCTGGGATAATTAGGATGTATTTGGGATTGAGATACTTGGAGAGCCTTGGAGGATCTTTGGAAAGAGCCCTTCTCTTTCTCATTGCCTAGGCTTGGGCCTTGCCTTAGGCCTCATCCCTTTTCAATGAGGTCTGATCTCATCCTCCAGGTCTCAGCCTATCATCCTCATCCCCCTTTCAAGCCTCATTCCCTTCAATACCTAATAAATGTCCGTCCTCAGTTCCATCTATGAGACTCCTCCTCCTCGGCTCCATCCTCCAAACCTTCCCTAATAACTCTCAATGTTTAAGATTCCTTCTATCAACAACAAACAACCTCAAAATATCATTACTCAATACCCCCCGCCCCAGTAACATCACCTCCTCCCCCACCACCAACCCTAATCCCAATAAAACAAGACTTGGCCAACTACAATTTAGCAACAGAACAACCCTTATTTAAGCCTATAAAGGAGGAGCAAAATAAAGCATTTGGACAAATACAGATAAATAAAATATCATCATTACCAGCCTCCTCCCCTTCAATAGCCTCTTCCCCTTCAATACCTATACAAATGTTTCCGCCTAGCTACGAAAAGGAAGAACAAATAAAATTTCAGAAGAAAGGCCCTATTCAACTGGCTACATTTTTTGGTTATGGAATAGGGGGGAATTATGGGAGGAATGGAAATAATAATGAAAATATACCAAATAAAATTACTAAATTTGGAAGAGAAGAAGAAAGCAATAATGATGAATTTATTGATGTTACTAATAATGAAAAAATTGATGAGAAAGAAGGAGCTGTTCTGGTTAATTGAGAAACTTGTTTTAAATGCCAGAATATTTTTAATTCTGATTTTGTTTTATAATCTTCTGATTTTAATATCAGAATACATATAATAAGGGGAAATGAACAGAAATCAGAACAAGTTCAAAATAAAAATCAGAATAAGTTCAGAATAAAAATCAGAATAAAAATAAGAATAAAATCAGAAATCAGAACAAGTTCAGAATAAAAATCAGAATAAAAATAAGATCAAAATCAGAAATCAGAAATCAGAACAAGTTCAGAATAAAATCAAAACAAAATCAGAATAAAAATCAGAATAAAAATCAGAACAAAAATCAGAATAAAAATCAGAATAAAATAGAACAATCAGAATAATTAAAAATAAAGCCAGAATAAGATCAGAACGATTTTTAAAAAATCAGAATAATTTCAAAACAAAATCAGAACAATATTTTCTCAGAACATAATTAAAACTGAACCTGCGCCATGTGTATAAACACTTAAATAAATTTGGGTAAATTTATACTGTTTACTGGATAAAGAAATAAATAATGCGTTTAAAAAATAAATAGTAACACTTGTAGCGATTTAAATAATCAAATCAAGCTTGTAAAAAATAGTTTTGAATAGGGAAAATTTAAAAAAATAAAAAATTTGGTTGGTGTTCTTGCTCCCACAACTGGAGGCTGAGGGGCTCCTCCTCAGTAAAATCATATCATATCTTCCATACTTCCTTTCTTTCCTTCTTTCCTTGCTTCAATACACTTCTTCAATAACTCAAAGCCAACAAAACCATAGCCAAAGAAATCGCCATTATACTCCAAGTCATTGTTGCAGTTGAAGCTCCTGCAAATGGAGGCTGAGGGGCGGGGCTTGGAGGGGGGAGAGTTGTGGTAGTGGTTGTAGGGGTTGTCGGGGTTGTTGGAGCTTCTGTTGTCGTTGGAGCTTCTGTTGTGGTTGGAGCTGTTGTTGTAGTGGGAACTTCAGGTGTTGTGGGCACTTCAGGTGTTGGAGTATTGGTGTTTACCACATCTTGAACTGGTGGGCCAATGATGAAATATGAAGTTTTCGTTGGTTCGGTTGACGGTGCTTAAATTTTTTAAAATTTTTAGACAAGGAAATGAAAGTGAGGTGACATCAGGGTAATGTGAAGAGAACATCAGGGTAATGTGAATGGAACATATGCGTAATGTGAAGGTGACATTAGGGTATTGTGAGTCTTATCCAATTAAACAATTCTTTTAAATTAAACCTCCAGTTGTGTTTGCAGTTGTTGTTTCTTCATTTGTTATTGTTGTAGGCATAGGTGTTGTTGTCATAGTTAATTCGTTTTGAACTGTCGTATTTAGAGGAGGTACTGGCATTACAGTATTAGGCCTCTCAGGAGATGGAGTTAAAGATTGAGCCAGTTGATTAAGAACCTCTGAAGGTGTTGTTTGTGTTGTATTTGGTGGAACTGCTAGGTATTTTTAAAGATATTTTCTAACAATGGTAGTGTGAAGGGAACATTGGGTAGTACTGTGAAGGGAACATTAGGGGTAGTGCGAAGGGAACATTGGAGTAATGTGAAGGGAACATTGGGGTAGTGCGAACGGAAAATTAGGAAGGAACAATGGCTACTAAGGGAGTATTGGGCTTGTGCGAAGAGAGTTCCCTCCGTTCCCTCAGTAGTGCGAGGGAACCATAAGGTAATTTAAAGGGAACATCCTGACTACAAGCCTATAACCTCCACTTTTCAATTCCAAATTTCACCAACCTAGATTCGTTTCCGGATTTTCGCCACCTCCTTTTGTAAAAACAAAGACTTGTAGAAGAACGATTAGCACAAAACCTTTCATCTAATATTTTTTAAAAATTAAAAACCTCAAAAATTTATATAAACAAGTCTAATAAACGTCTAATAAAAAAATTTAAAAATGCTGTTAAGGAAAGGGAAAGCAATCAAGAGGACGTCCAACTAGCGCAGGATGATGTGGCAAATATGTACATATACAATAGGGGGAGGATAAGGAAAGAGAGGGAAAATACAGGCTGCGCAAACAGGCCTTGCGCAATGTTAATAAATCCAGAATTTTCTTTTTTTTACATTATCCCCTCTTATCTCTCCCTTTTTCTTTCTCTATAGAGAGGGGATATTGTCAATTCAACATTGCTTAATGGCCAGCTTTTTGATTTTTTTATTGATTAAATCAGTTGATTTGGCAATCATGAGTTTTTTAAAGTGATTGATTGTTTGTTTGAGGATTTTGAAATTTTAAGTTTTTCTAGTTAAAAAAATTTTTTTCAAGTCTAAAAGTGAATTAATCCGAATTAAAAATAACTAGATAAACAAGTTATTTATGTAAATGTTTGGATAAAAGCTTGGTTGAATAATTTTGGAGAAAAGGGGTAATGCGAAGGGAACATTGTAGAGTGAAAGGAACATGGTAGCATCTTACAAAAATTGCTCAAGTTCAAATTTAAACCTCTGTAGGTTTAAAATTAAAATATAAATCAAGTTTTAATTAAAATTTAATAATGATAACTAGAGATCTAGCTGGGCCTGGGTTCCAAGGCCTGAGTTTTTCCTTTACCCAGAGTCCAGGCCTAGGCATTTTTTTTACCTTCCTGCGTTTTTCCTGGGCCTGGATTTTTCCTTGACTACAAGCCCGGAATCCTGCCTAGGTTAATAAATCAAACCTAGAGTCCAGGAACAGGCCCAGGCTTTTCAAAAATCTCGAACTCTAATAATAACTTGACCTAAAAATTCAAACCTAAAAGCCTGTGCTAACCTTTATAAGCTCAAAACCTAACAGAATTTTTCATAATTAAATAATTATTTAACATATTTTATATAAATTTTTTATTCTACTAAATTTAAATTTTATAGCAATTAAATATTTAATATTTTCAAAAAAAACTAAAATTTAAAAGAAAAGAAAAAAAAGATTGCGCGACAATTGAATGAGATAAAATGTGTGGAATATTTAATAAAAACACCAAGAAAAAAATTATTTGACCAAAAAATAAATTGCAACAAAACAAAAAATTTATAAAAATTATTAAGGTTTGAAATTTTCCTTAAACAGTAAAAATATATCTTTCCAACAGAAATCGATCTGCTCAAAAATTGATCAAATCCAGGAATGTTTAGTCAAAAAATCGGGAAATATACAGGGATATCCTTTACTAACAATCAGTGATGGAAAAGTTACAAAATTTCTCTGGAACCGGTTCCCTGCTTTTTGAATTTCTTCGGTTCCAGTTCCGAAACTGGAACCTTTCCATCCCTTACTAACAATAATTATTTGATATTGAGGAATAGAAACATCAACCCAGAAAAATTTTCAGACCAGAAAAATTTAAAAGTTTATGAACAAAATGTTCCCTTCACTCTATGGTAGAGTGAAGGGAACATTATTTCTCAGGAATACAATATTAATTTTCAAACTTAAAAATCTTTCAGACTTAAAAATTTTCTTTCTCCTAAAAATTTTCTTTCCCCTAAAAACCCTAATAATAATTAAAATTAAAAATACATATAATAAATTTATTTAAATTTTGCCATAATAGGCGAAGGGAATGGGCCCCCTTGCATTTCCTCCTCGTTTAAAAGCAAAGTTTTCCCATTTTGACCATTATGCTCTCTAAAATTAATTTTTGAAATTTTAAGTAATATGTATATTTATTTACCTAAACCATTGGGCTAATTTGTTAAAATTTTTCTGTATCCAACGTGTATTGGTTTGAAGAACTTCCAAACGTTGTTTAAATACATCCAGATTTCTGAAAAAAATATTGAATTAATTAAAAAAAGATGAAAAAAATTTGGATTTTATCGAAAAAAATTCACTTGGAAAATTTTTTTAAACTCCAAAAAAAAATTTTTCCAAAAATTTTTCCAAAAAATTTTTCCAAGAAATTTTTTTCAAAAATTTTTCAAAAAAAATTTTTTTCAAAAAAATTTCCTTAATTCCAAAAAAATTTTTTTCCAAGAAATTTTAGAAATTAAAAAAAATTTTTTTTGGATTTAAAATTTTTCCTTAAAAAATTTTTTTGGGAAAATTTTTTAAAAATCAAAAAAAAAAAATTTTCCCACTTTGTAGTTTTTTGATTTTCACGAAGAAAGTTTTCTACTTGATCAATAACCCTTTGAGATTTGCCTACAATTGATGAAGAAATAATTGAACGTAATAAAGTTTGTTGGTCTTTAAAGCTTTAAAAAGGAATTAATTTTTTAATTCCCCCTCTTTTCTTACTCCTGATAAATTCTTGGCCATCTATCAATAAAGAAATCCAAAATTATTTTCTTTCCAATAATTCTACTTCCAACATGTGTAAATACTGAAGGTTTGTCTTGTAAACGGATAATTGTACTATTTACATCACTGGCCATTGTAAGAAGCCTTAAAAAATATTTGAAAATTTTTAAGAGGATGAGAAGAAGTTTGAGTAAATTTTCAAGGAACGGGTCAACTAAGACTGAGTGCCAGCTAACGTTAAACAATTAGCCTTGATCCCATCAAAGTAAATCTTATACCATTCGAAAGCCAACATTAATCGGATTTTTCCCAATTGGAGAAAAAGCAGCTTTGTTTTTTTACACTTTTTCCTCCCAATTTTTGATTAAAAAATATTTCAAAATATTTTTAAATCTAAAAAGATGTGATAAATAGGGTTGCCGTTTACGAGTCGGGCCGATGGTCGAATCATTTTTGGGCTTCTTTTTATCGAGTCGGGGTCTTTTTCGAGCCAAATATCTTAGGCACGACTCGATCTTTCGGTCCGAGTTGGTACATTTTAGCAAACTTAGTGATAAACCTTCATTCTTAATCAATCTCCCTTCAAAAATTTAAATTTAAAAAATTTTAATTAAATTTACATTTTTAAAGTATGTGTATCTCTAGAACATGCCAAGGCAACAAGTAAACGTTCCTTCTCTACTTGAACAATTTCATTTCTAAATAATTCCAAAATTAAATTCCAATCTTGTTCCGTTCCATAATGAACACCTTCACAATATGCTAGAGTTCGGAAAGGTACAGGGATTTTGGAACATTGACTAGCCATTTTTCTTCCTGGTTTATGTGGTAAAGAAGGTGGTGATCTAAACAAGAAAATAGAAAAAAATTTGAGGTGAAATTAACTAAAGAGCCAAAATCTTTATCCTATCCTTTTCTCCAAAATCAACTGTGGAAGGGCCAGCTCCAAAACGGGTCGAATTATAAGTCACTCGATTCATCACGGCGAGCTGAGACTTCTTATCCAACCTTTTATCGAAAACTTATCCCAGCTTCTCCCCAAAATCTTTATCTTGACCTATTCTCAAATATCCCCAATCCCTCACCTATTTGGCACCGATTTAAATTTCCTAAACACATCCCTCTATCACAATCCCTCAGTATCCCGACATATAAAATTAATTTTTTCTCAAAAAAATCTTCACCCTGAATTATTCCCATTATTTTCTGTTGAAATAAAATCTGTGCACGAATCCACAAATTGACGCCGATAAATATCAAGAATGGCGTTTATACACCGCGAATCTCTTAAAGTACACATTCTTTGAATTATTCGTTGACGAAGTAAACTTTAAAAAATTAAATTTTTTAAATAATTTTAAATCAATTAATTTACTCATTAAAGAAATGTTTTTCTCCATCTCCAGGTTCCCAATCTGCAAGTTTATCTAATTCACGTTCAAAAATGTCACCAATTAATAATTTAATATAAGCCTATTAAAAAGTAAATTTGTTTAAATTTTTTTAGTTTTAATTTTTAAATCAGAATAAGTTTAATAATGTTATCCTAACTTTCAGCTATTCTATAATTTGTCCACGAGCCCGATTTCTTTTCCTCCACTGACAGAGCAAGATTTCACTTTCCTCGCCTGACAGAACCCGATTTCCCTTCCTCACCTGACAACGATTTTCAGACCGTTCTACGGCTCTGATCCCCGACAGCTCATTCACCGACTCCGATTCTCGTCAGTTCATTCACCCGACATCCCCGTTCCTCGAAAAAATTCTATCCGACGAATCTGAGGTCAACCTTAACCTCAATTCACGAGTTTTTCAAAAAAATTTCCTCAAAAATTTTCTATTTTTTTACCCTCAAATCCTCAGTTTCTGGTTCATCATCAAAATAACTTTGTATTACATTAAAACCAGTTAAAGCAATTTCCCAAGGTGGGTATTCCTCTTCTTTTGCCAAATATTGAGTTAAATTTAAAGTATCCTTTAGAAAAATAATTATTTAATCATTTTAAACAATCCTTACTTCATAAGGCAAATAACCACCCTCAGCAAGTGTGAAAGCATCATCAATTATACGTACACGGCTACCCATTGAAAGTTTCTATAATTTGTAGAAAATTAATAAAATAACAAATTAAATTGTCTATGGGGTTCCGACCAATTAATTGAATAATTAATTGTTTCAATAAATCCAATTAATTGTTCAAGGTTTTCTCAAACCCCCAATAAGACAAATTGTTAGCTCCCTATTTAGCTCCCTATTTTTCCAACCTAAGCAACAATTAATTGTTCGCTGTCTTCCTAGCCCCATAAAAAGCAGCTCTATTGTTCATTGTTTCTTCTGACTCCCCATGAAAAATTTTTTCAACCCTAACTGTTTTTCAACCTCATTAAACCAATTAATTGTTCACTGTCTCTTCCAACCCCAATAAAAACCCCCCAATTAATTGTTTACCGTATGGTTATCAAATAATTGTTGCCTAATTTGTTCCATTTCATCAGGAGCATATTGCACTCTATAAAATCCTTGAGAACGAATATTTAAAACAATTACATCCCCAGCACTCGTTTCCAATTCTGTTGAGTTCGTTAACCAAAGCATTGGTT